GCGCGCGCTCGTGTGTGTGTGTGTGTGTGTGTGTGTGTGTGTGTGTGTGTGTGTTCGAATTTTTTAAACAGTTATAAATAAAATCAATAAAGACATTGCAGTAATCTCACTGAAACGTTCTAGAAATATTTCTGTAATATTTCAGACATATTCCAGAAATACTTATTGCAATCGAAACAAACATGTTGACATTATTGCGAAAATTTTTTAAAAGTATTGTGCAATTATGTAACTGAAACATTTTGAAGATTTCAATGTTATATTGTCTTGCAATATAGCAGAAACTTTTTTCTATTATCATAATTGAATTTGGTAAACTCTTGTTTGGATTTGTTATTCGTGAAAATTTGTTTCTTTGCAATTAAATTGACAATATATAAAAAAATAAATAAAAGCATTAATTAGAATTTGTTCTGCTCACTTTGTTCCGCTAATTTATATAATTATATAACATCTTAGAAAGATGCACGTTAAAAAAGAAATTAAGATATACGAGTAGTGTATCGTCTCCAAATTTACGCATAATAAAATTCGTGTGGAACGGCGACGAAACGTCCGTGGCTTTATATATAACCGGAGTTCACATTTACATATCATATATATCAATAATATATCATGCATTAACAATAACATTTCTTCTGTAGTAACGTTTTTATAATAGCTTTTTTCATTTTTATGTGGTTTCCTCGAAACCACATAAAACCTCCTACAACTTCCTACAACTTTTGTGTAAAACATTTTTCTCTAAACTTGAAGATAAATAAAATTTTGGAAAGTGATAATTTTGAAATTATAGGATATATAGGTTGTCCCAGAGGAAGGAAGGTCGAATTCTGGAAGGCGATAATATCGATTATTAATATATCGAATATCGATTATTATTTAAATAAAAATGTTCATATAAATGTGTATCCTATTCCGAACGATTTTCTGAGATAATCTCAGATGTAATCAGAGATGTATAAGCTCTTGGTAAAAGAAAGCATTTGCAATGCTTTTGTAACTTTAGAAATTTTAATGTCGGCGAAAATAATAAAAAAAAAAAAGAAAAGAAAATTACGAAAAAGAATTACAAAAAAAGGAAGAAAAATAAAGAAATTCTTTTAAAAGAATTTCTTGTTTATATAAAGATTTACAAATGTTTGAAAGTGAATGAACATTTTAAAAATTTACTATATATTTATCAAAAAATGAATAAAATTATTTTGTATAATCTTTACGTTACTGAAAAATATTTGTTGTCATAGTTTTTTTAATTATGCAAAAGACAAAAAATAGTTTTTATGAATGTTGTTACATTTAACAAGATGTTTATGTAAGGAAAATATTTGCATATTATTAATTTAAAAAAATACCTCTTTTGATGGAGCTTTCAATAGTATCATGTCTGTCATTTAAAAGGCTCTAAAGCAATGGTAGTCATGCATGTTATGCATTTATCTAGCCATTAAGTTACAAAGTTAATAAATTGCAAAAAATTTTATCTTTACTATCTTTAATAGTTTTGGAAAAAATAACTTATAATTCTTTATACGATATACTCTGTGCAATAATAATATATAATTTGCAATGCACAATTAAGCGCTTAACTTTATTAAAGTAAATTATAATCTTATTTATTATAAATTATCAAAACAATTATCTTTTTTATTTATATAATTCAATAATTATGCTATTTTGTGCCACAATTAGGTGGAAGTCGATCAGACAATACAAGCACAACGAATATTCCTTCAAAAAGTTCATCATTGCAACAACAGCGCAATCCGAAAAATCGTTGGTCCAATAAAAATGGAGAATCATTTATTCAGACAACAATCAATCACAAAGAAGACTTTCGAGTACAGCAGATACTTATGAGTGGCTATAATATAAATGCATCTAGGGAAATAAATGGTAAGTTAAAGAAATAGAAACTTTTAGACGGAAATTCATTTGATTGTTTCTAGTATTTTTATCAAAAGTCAGTAACAATAGGGTGCGATGTTTTTGAAGTTGATCTTATTTATTTTATTTATTTTATATCTTTTTTTATTTTTAAAAAGGTTAGAGAAAATTTTGTAGAGATGATCAATGACACATCTTTACTACCATACACACACACACACACACACACACACACACACATTTGTACATACACGTATTTACGTGTAGTAGTAATGAAATTATATCGCGCATGCGTGAAAAAGCGACCCAGATCACTGGTTGTGTGCACATAATTGTAGTAGGGAGGAGCAGATAGAGGCGGTGTCTGAACTAAGCAACATGGCTACCAGTTCGTGAGAAACCGTGATCGCGTGAGTATCGCGTAGTGATCGAGTAGTGATCGCGTTCTTGTATTTGCGTAAGACCATCAGATGTCGCCGTGTGTTCTTTAAACAGTTTAGCTGCATGACAATTTCTTTTATCAATCTCGCAAGAATTAAAGGTTTAACATTTTGTTTCGTCGACAGCATAATTATCAGCGGGATGGGGAGAGGTGCAGGGGGAGGGGGGGATGGGCTAGTGATCGAGTATTGTGAATAATTGATCACAAAGACGAAAAACTGCAAAACTAACGGATTTTCATATTGATATTATAGTGAGCGCAAAACAACGACGATCCGCATGTTGAAACAAATGTTGAATCTTATTTTTACGCGCGCGATTTCTGCCAATTAAAACAAGTGTTTAATTGTACAACTCTGAAGGAGAATACGACAATTTGGACAATAAGTTAAACAACAGGGCGATTTATACCAAAAAAGATTGACAATCGCAAAGGTATAAAAGATGGTATCAAAGGTTAACAAAAAGTGATCTTGTTCTTGGCATTGTGAGTTTTTATCAAAAATCTCATTGAATTTTTGAAGAGATGTATCGTTTATAGAAATATCCACCGAACAGAGTCCGAAATATTGCGTCGACCATTAAGTGAATGAAGTGACGTTCCTAACCTTTTATTGACATGCCTTTATGCTATGTTGAAAATAGCTAATAGATTTGTCACATTTCTATCATTTGTGCTACTGTACTATGGAAGAAATTTTCAAAAAGGCTCGCGGATCTTTTAAATTCATTTGTAGAAACGGACATTGTGGAAACTGCTGGTCCATCTGAAGAAAGTATCACATCCACTCTCAACAGTCCACGCTCTCCTGAAATAGGCATAGTGACGGCGACAGCAGCAGCAGTACCACCATCACCACCATCATCACCACCACTATCACCACCACCATCACTACCACCACCACTATCACACCACCACCACCACCACCACCACCACTACCAT